CTGTAGCTTAGCTTTAGCTTAGTTTTAGCTTAGCTTTAGCTTAGCTTTAGCTTAGTGTTAGCTTAGCTTTAGCTTAGCTTTAGCTTAGCTTTAGCTTAGCTTTAGCTTAGCTGTAGCTTAGCTTAGTGTTAGCTTAGCTCTAGCTTAGCTTTAGCTTAGCTTTGGCTTAGCTCTAGCTTAGCTTTAGCTTAGCTGTAGCTTTAGCTTAGCTTTAGTTTAGCTGCAGCCTAGCTGTAGCTTAGCTTTAGCTTAGTGTTAGCTTAGCTTCTTAGCTTAGCCTTAGCTTAGCTGCACCTTAGCTTTAGCTTAGCTTTAGCTTAGCTTCAGCTTAGCTTTAGCTTAGCTTTAGCTTAGCTTCAGCTTAGTGTTAGCTTAGCTTCAGCTTAGCTTCAGCTTAGCTTTAGCTTAGCTTTACCTTAGCTATAGCTTAGCTTTAGCTTAGTGTTAGCTTAGCTTCTCAGCTTAGCTTTAGCTTAGCTGCACCTTAGCCCTAGCTTAGCTTTAGCTTAGCTTTAGCTTAGCTTCTTAGCTTTAGCCTAGCTTTAGCTTAGCTTGAGCTTGGCTTTAGCTTAGCGGCACCTTAGCTTTAGCGTAGCTCTAGCTTAGCTTTTAGCTTTAGCTATAGCTTTAGCTTAGCTTTAGCTTAGCTTCCGCTTAGCTTTAGCTAAGCTTTAGCTTAGCTTCAGCTCAGCTTTAGCTTAGCTTTAGCTTAGTGTTAGCTTAGCCTTAGCTTAGCGTTAGCTTAGCTTTAGCTTAGCTTTAGCTTAGCTTTAGCTTAGCTTTAGCTTAGCTTTGGCTTAGCGTTAGCTTAGCTGCAGCTTAGCTTTAGCTGAGCTTTAGCTTATTGTTAGCTCAGCTTCTTAGCTTAGCCTTAGCTTAGCTGCACCTTAGCTGTCGCTTAGCTTTAGCTTAGCTTTAGCTTAGCTTTAGCTTAGCTTCAGCTTAGCTTTCGCTTAGCTTTAGCTTAGTGTTAGTTTAGCTCTAGCTTAGCTTTAGCTTAGTGTTAGCTTAGCTTTAGCTTAGCTTTAGCTTAGCTTTTGCTTAGCTTTAGCTTAGCTTTAGCTAAGCCTTAGCTTAGCTTCAGCTTAGCTTCAGCTTAGCTTCAGCTTAGCTTTAGTCTAGCTGTAGCTTAGCTTCAGCTTAGTGTTAGCTTAGCTTTAGCTTAGCTTTAGCTTAGCTTTAGCTTAGCTTTGGCTTAGCTTTTAGCTTAGTTGTTAGCTTAGTTGTTAGCTTTAGCTTCAGCTTAGCGTTAGCTTAGCTTTAGCTTAGTGTTAGCTTAGCCTTAGCTCAGCTTTAGCTCAGCTTTAGCTTAGCTTCAGCTTAGCCTTAGCTTTGCTTTAGCATAGCTTTAGCTTAGCTTCAGCTTAGCCTTACTGTTGCTACTAATGTTGCTTTCCTAGGGGCTCCAACTCCTAGGTAGGGTCGCACTGGGATCATGGCAAGGAACCCCAAGCGAGAACGCGATTCTTCAATACATTGCATGGGCGTGCCAAGCGGGAACTGCTATGCTGTAAACCGGGAGCGAGTGAGTCGGACAATTCGTCCCGGTGCAAAACAAATCGAGCCGAGGGATAGGGCATTCAATTGAAAAACCACGTCTGTTATGGGAATGCGTGAGTCCTGTACAATTCGCCAGGAAGTCTCGGGCGAGAGTCCGATTCCTAATTAAATCATGAAGAAATCCCAGCCGAGAGCGCGACACCTGAATGGCGAGGGCGTAGCGCCTGAGTGAATAGCGAGGGGCGGGAGCGCGATTCTCAGATGCATTGCGATGAAGTTTGTGTAGCGACAGCGCGTTTCCCTATTACATTGCTAAGAAGTATCAGGCGGGAGCAGGTGTCGTTGTAAATAGGCGGCCAGGGGTGCAGTTCGGGCAGGAAAATGTTCCTTGATAAAAAAACAGGGTGCGAGGCCCGGGAGGGGGTCTTCAATTGAAAAACATATGTGTTACCAGAGGGAAAAGATCAACCATAATTCCCTACAGAGGCTCTGCCTAGAAGGGTTCTTACTCTCTTAGCTTAAAGGGCCGGGCAGTGCTAATCGCCCTGGGCGGTTCCCCCAGTCCCCTGGGAGCGGTTCCCCCAGTCTCCTGAGAGCTTTAGCTTTAGCTTAGGCTTAGCTTAGCTCTAGCTTAGCTTCAGCTTAGCTTTAGCTTAGCTCTAGCTTAGCTTTAGCTTAGCTTCAGCTTCGCTTTAGCCTAGCTTTAGCTTAGCTTTAGCTTGGCTTTACCTTAGCGGCACCTTAGCTTTAGCGTAGCTTTAGCTTAGCTTTAGCTTTACCTTTAGCTTAGCTTTAGCTTAGCTTTAGCTTAGCTTTAGCGTAGCTTTAGCTTAGCTTCAGCTTAGCTTCAGCTTAGCTTTAGCTTAGCTGTACCTTAGCTGCACCTTGGCTGTAGCTTAGCTTTAGCTTAGCTTTAGCTTGGCTTTAGCTTAGCTGCACCTTAGCTTTAGCTGAGATTCAGCTTAGTGTCAGCTTAGCTTTAGCTTAGCCTTTACCGTAGTCTTAACTTAGCTTTAGCTTGGCGTTAGCTTAGCCTTTACCGTAACGTTAGCTTAGCTTTAGCTTATCTGCACCTTAGCTTTAGCTCAGGTTTAGCTAAGCGGTAGCTTAGCCTTAGCTTAGCTTTAGCTTAGCTTTAACTTAGCTTTAGCTTAGCTGCACCTTAGCTTTAGCTTAGCTTTAGCTTAGCTTTAGCTCAGCTTGGCTTAGCTTAGCTTAGCTTAGCTTACCTTTAGCTTAGCTTTAGCTTAACTTTAGTTTGGTTTTAACTTAGCTTTAGCTTAGCTTTAGCTTTACTGTTCGTACTAATGCTGCTTTCCTAAGGGGTCCAACTCATATGTAGGGTCGCGTTGGGATTATTGTTTTTTCGGTAATCGCGCAAACATAACCACCAACAGCAAAACCAAACCAACAACAGCAATACCAACAACAATCGTTGTCAATTTGTTCGCTCTCAGCTGCTCGCGTGCCAGTCAACACGTACATCCTGAACCCTCGATACCCGCTCTCTTCGATTTCGACGTACCCCCTCGGGGGCAACGTGTATTTCGAGCAGCCCCTGCGGCAGGGGAAGAGACGATGGATGGAATGAAGGGGCATGGGGGAAAGAGGAGAATGGAACACGAGAGACAGTAGCAGGGGGCGGGTTGGGAGCAACGAGCACGTGGCAGAACCAGGCGGGCAGATCGGGCGGGTAGACTTTACCAGGCGTGTCGGGAAGGAGGGCCCAGGCGGCCAGGTCGAGCAGGCGGGTTGCTGAAGCGTGCGTCCTGCATGAATCGCGAGGAAATCTCGCGCGACAGCTCGATTCTCAATAAATCGTGAGGAGATCCACAGCGAGACCGTGATGCCTGAGTGTCGAGGGCGTGGCGCCTGAATAGATTGCGAGGGACTCCAGAGCGAGAGCGCGATTCCTGAATACATTGTGAGACAGTCCCGTGCGAGAGCGCGATTTGGGAATACACTGTGAGGAAGTATCAGGCTGGAGCCGCTGTTGTTGTAAACCAGGGGGCCAGGGGTTCAGTTTGAGGGGGGAGACGTTCCCTGATAGAAAAACAGGGTGAGAGCCCCGGGAGGGGCACTTCTATCGAAAACACATGTTACCGGAGGGGGGAATCAACAAAAAACATTGCTCAGTAGTGGGAGTTCAATAACAACAACAAGCACGTCGACAATAGCACCAATATCAACAGCAACAACAACAGCAACAACAACACCCACGCCAATACCAACACCCACAACAACGACAAGAACAACAACAACAACAACAACAACAACAATCATTTAAGACTGGGGACACTCCGTTCTCACCAGTGCCAGGGTTTTCATAGGAGGCGGGCAATACCCCCACTTTGTGGGGGGGCCGGTTCAAGCTCTACCAAATTTCCAAACGACTCTTCGCCACCACCCACACCCAGCTTCCCGCCCTATGACGTTCGGACACTTCACTTCGTGGCATGCGGACGACCGTGGCTACTATTCAGGGCCCCGCGGCCGACGACGACGGCGTGCGCGCGCGAAGAAAAAACGAATGTGTCCCGCATGGTATTATTTGACAGGGATGATGGCCCTGGCAGGTGCGCAACCGTTGTCGCAGAAGTTCGAAAAAGTTGCTCGCAAAAGCCCGTTTGACAGAAATGTTTAAAAAGTGTTGGGTTTCCTACGAATCCGCAAGAGCGCGCGGGATGAGATTTTGACATTTTTTTGTTGAAAAACCATTGGTTTTTTGATGTTTTTATGTTAAAATCGCTCCGAACACTAAGCTTTTGGAAGGATTTCGTCTTGCGCGCGCGAATGTCCACTTTACCTTATTTTTTGCAAGGGATTCTTGAAATTTGATTATATTAGAACAAGAAATGTCATTTTATAGTGTTTTTTGCAAGGGAAAGCGGGGGGGAACAAAACAACCGGATCTTGATCACATCGAATTACCTGAGGCTTCCTCACGAAAGTGATGAAAATGTAGCTGCGGCCTAGGCGGCGCAGGGGGGCCGTGCACCAGGGGTCCCAACAATAATTATTCTTTAGAATTAATAATGTTCAACAACAACAACAACACCACCAACAACAACAACAACAATACTCACAATAACAACCACACCAACAACATCAACGCCAACACCAACACCAACAACAACGACAACAACAGCAATCACAAACACAACACCAGCAACACCACCGCCAGCAACAACAACAACCACCAACAACAACGACATCAACAACAACAATCACATCAACAACAACAACTATCCGCGTCGCGGAACCCCACCTCAGCCACGCACCCAGGGACAGTGAATGACCGTTCGGACCCCTCGTTCTGATCCACGCGGTGCCAGTCATCCAAGCCGAAGGCGTCACGGCGCGGGGCTGCAGTGGGAAATTGCGCAGTCACAACTCGAAATATCCCTCCAGCTTCACCGGGCGTCCCGCAGCTGGGCCGCGCGCGATCCGACTCGACGGAACCCTGGCGCGGCGCCCTGGCGTGTGCGCGCGCGCGCGAGGTCCGCGAACGAGAAGTTGAACGACCACATATCGAAGGACCAAAAGGCAGCTCGCGTCGTCGGCGTCTCCCGTCTTCGCCACCTCGCCTGCTCGGCACCTCGGTCCCTCTGCCCCTTGCCTTCTAGCTATCTTCCGTCGTCCGCCTTGGAGGCTTCAAGGCTCCAAAGACTCGGAACTATGTGCCCACCACGTTCAGTCGCACAATGCTCACAGCGTGCTGCCGTGCACAAATCGGCCGGCAGGGAGGCCGTCCAGAGTGGAGGCCTGCGGAGGAGGTCAGAAGGACGAGGCCGACCCCCCGCCTCGGAGGGAGGGAGGGAGGAAGAGGACGAGGCCGACGCGTCACGGCCGCGGTCGTCGTCGACATCCCTCTCCCCGCTGGCCCTTCTCCTTGCCGTCCCGAGTCCACCTCCTGCCTCTGGGTCGGAGCTCACCATTCCAGACTTGGACGCGTGAAACCCCTCCCGCTCGCCTATGTGCTCCTCGTCGTCTTCGTCGCTGTCCTTCTCTCGTCTTTGCGCTCCTCGCTCGCCCTCGCCCTCCCCCTCGCCCTTACGCTCCTCGTCGCCGTCGTCGTCGCTGTCCTCCCACGCCACGCCCGCACTTGATTCCCTGGGGGCGCCCGGGCACGGTGCGCCCTCCCATACGGGAATCCCACGAGGAAATCCATGGGATTCCCTCAAGGAGCCCATGGGATTCCTTGTGACCTCCATGGGATTCCTTTGGACATCCCCAGGATTCCTCAGAACATCCATCGGAAATCCGCACGCCCACGCACGCGCACACACTCGATGCAGGAAGCAGCAGTGCCCGGCCTTCCGACGACATGTGCTTGGTTCTCGCCTCGACCTCTCGACAGCTGCGGCGGGAGACCGGCTCTGCTCCCCAATCGACTGTGGTTTGCGGTCCTTGTGTTCAGTCGGGCATGTCCTTCAACAGGACGAATGTAATAGTAAAGTAGTAGCCAGGGGACGATTCGTCAAGTAGATTCGGATATGTTTTTATCATTTGTTCCGTCCAGAGTCGGCCTGTAGGAGGACAGGCCCGACCTGATCCTTGTGTCCGGGAGGCCGCCCTCTGCCGACCTTGACCGGCGCGATGTTGTCAGAGTCGCCAGAGGTACTCGAGGGCGCCGCAGAACTCAGCAGTCCTCTTTCTAAAGCGTCGCTGTGTGAGGGACCCTCTTCCCAACATCCTCCGCCCACCTGGGGTTATGTCGGGCGTGTTTCCCTACAGGGGGATTTTCGACCAAAAATAAAAAATACCCCAAAAATGCACCAGAAAAGTTCGAAAATACTACAAAAATAGTCCCCATATTATTTTGGAACTATTTTTTTACAATTTTGGGGGTATTTTTTGTTTTCCGTCGAAACTCCCCCTGTAGGGGGACAGGCCCGACTTAAACCCGGGGATCTCCACAGGTCCCCCTGGTGGTCTCCGGAGGCCTGTGGAGAACCCTGGGAGGCCACACAGGGCCCAGGCAAAAACCTCGCTCTCCGCTCCTCGAACCTCTGTAGCGTCCTCGGTCCTGCGATGCCCGAGGATTGGCCCTCCTCCTGCTCCATCCTCGAGTCTCGATCCTCGGACCTCACCTCGGGACCTCGAAGGCCATCCTCGAGACTCGATCCTCGATGCGCGATCGCCCTCGATCCTCCACGGCGGCGGCGGCATCGACGTCGACGACGGCAGCGACGGCGACGGCGGCGGCGCCGACGGCGACGGCAGCGCCGACAGCGGTGGCAACGACGGCGGCGCCGGGGCCTGCGGCCCTCGAGGTGGGCCGAGCTCCTGGCCGCTGCCGCCGGCCCGCGCGCCCCGGCGGCCAGGCCCGGGACCTGTACCACACCTCCGTCCAGGCGCCGCCGCTCTCGCCGCCGCCGCCGCAGCCGCCGACGCCGCAGCTCCTCCTCCTCCTCCTCCTCCTCGTCCCTCTCCTCGTCCCTCTCCTCGTCCTCCTCGTCCTCGTCCTCCTCCTCGTCCTCGTCCTCCTCCTCCTCCTCCACATGCGCACACCGATCTTAAGCCTTGCAAGCTTGCGTCAGGACCTGGGTCACATGGTGAGACCGCCGCCGCCGCCTCCTCTTCCTCGTCCTCGTCCTCCTCCTCCTCCGCCTCCTCCTCCTCCTCCTCCTTCTCCTCCAGGAGCCACCGCCGTCGCCGCCGTGGCCGCCGCCGTCCGTGTCGTCGCCGTCGTCGTGACCGTCCTATAGCCCGCCGCCGTCATCGCCGCCGCCGCCGTCGTCGAAGAAGACACGGGAGTTCTTGGGTACGGCACGGAGGCTTTTCCTAAGGGCTCGGCGGCGGAATGCAGCCGCCGCTGCCGCCGCCGTTGTCGCCGCAGTCGCCGTTGCCGCCAGCGGTAGTCCCTCCGCCGCGGGGCTTCCGCCAAGCGGCGTCGTCCTCGTCCTTTTCCTCGCTGTCGTCGTCTTCGTTGCCGTCGCCGCCGCCTTCATTGTCGCCGCTGCCGCCGTTCCCGCCGCCGCCACCGTTGTCGCCACCAACGTCGCCTCCGCGCCTCCGCCACCCTCGCCGCCACCGTCGCCGCCGCTCGCGTCCATGCCGCCGTCTCTGTCGTCGTCGTCCGGGGTCTTCGAAGACCCCCAGTGAGTGCTTTTGGGTCGTTGCTCAGGCCAGGGCGGTACAGCGCTGCATAGCGCATCTGCCTTCACCCTCCCGATTGGGGTTGCGGATCAGCTTCGCGATCTCTTTTCGTTTGGCTCCTGTTGCGAACGGAACGCGCGCGAGCTAGTAGTGACAGCGTCGTAATGTGTGAATGCTGCTACGGGGGAAAAATGCTTCCCGAAGTTCGTTGGGATCCTCCGCCCCGAAGCTCTCCGAAGCACGACCAGAGACAGCTTCCTCATCCGCTGACCCGGAAGTATGTGCGCGTCCGCGCAACGGTCCAAACACACCTCGAGCATCCATACAACCATGATCTGTCGCATCACACTGTCGCTCCGCGTGTGCTCCTTCAAGTTGTTTGGCGACAGTACGCTTTGCATTTCCAGGTGGCGCAAGTGCCGCTGGATATGCCTGGCCCAGGTGGCCTTGCACCGCGGACGGCGCTGGGTGTCATCAGCTTGCCAGGGCATGCCGGCAGCATCCCGACACAAATCAGGAGTGGTTCGGACAAGACTCGCCGCCAGTTTTTTCTTGGGAGTCCGAACTGGTCAGCCTGGGATTCCCAACCCGCCGCATTTTCTTGGGATACGGGGCGGCCTGTCTTGCGCAGATGCCTTTCGCGGAGCATATCGATGGGATCGAGTGTCCGTGGGACCGCGCCCCCGCGACGAGACCGCGAGGGCGATATGTTTGCCTCAGGGACAACGTCAGGGGGGCTCATGGGGGGGATACGTCGACCCCCAATCGCCCACTCTCAGGCGATCGCAAACATGGATCACGGGGGCGTGGATTAGCGACGGGCCCGGCTTCTGCGGGAAATCGCGGATTTCCGCCGACGAACGAGGCGGTACTGGCCGCATTCTGTGGAGGGCACCTCCCCCGATCCATGGATTTGGCAACGGTGCGCCAAATGCATGGATCGCTGATCCATGTGTGCGCGCCCCCGGCAGTCATCGCCGACAGGGGCCCGAAAGCCCACCCCGCCCAACCACGTGCGGGAGCGCTGCTGGGGGCCTGTCGCCGACCTGTCTGCGGTGCGTCGCCGATGCCCAGGGCCATAGGATTTGCGGTGTTCCGCTCTCGTGCCCGGGTGCTTCCCCGCTCGCTCCCGACGCCCGCCGATGTGGCTTGTTCAGGCCCTATAGTCGGAGGGGGACAGTGTCCCCATACCTCTGCCCTTTGCCCGTTTTCCCCTGTCTGGGCCTCCTGGGAGGCCTTTGTCGTTAACGCTGGACTCGCTTCGAAGTCCTGCTCAGAACTCACTCCTGGAGAGGTCCGGGGAGTAGCGGTATCGGACCTCTTAGTTTCCCCAGAGGTTCCGACCGCTTCCCTGGGGGTGTTTGCTTGTCACCGATCCGTTTCGGATGGTCCCGAGGCTCGACAAGGGTCCCCAGAGTCCCTCAGGGCGTGACGACTTTTCGCCAATGTATCCGTGAGGATCAACTCGGATAAATCGAGGTACATGCAGGTGAAACCACGTACATATTTAGACATCCTGGCCAATCCAGGTAAATCCAAAGATGCCCCAGGGAATTTGGCTCAGATCGTGGCCGCTCCCCGCGCGCGTCGAGGGACGGCAGAAGATGTTAGGCCTTCAACGACAGAGGCCGAAACCGGGGGCAACGAGGGGGGGGGGTAGGGACACGGGGGACTGCATCGACGCACAATCGCCCGTTCAACGCCGATGTGGGGCCCGATAGCCCCAACCTACCCAGCAGCGAGCGAATTCGCTATCGGACGCCTCTCGCCGATCTGTCGGCGGTGTATCGCCGCTTCCAGGCCGATGTCTCCCACCCAATGCCATAGTCCCCCCCCTGTCATTGCCCCTCAAGGCCCAGCCGGGAGGCCTGCGGCCATCCAGGCGGCCTTGTCTCAAATTCCGACATCGGTCGCGACCGATCTGCTTCAAAGCCGGTCGTGGCCGATCGGTCTGGAGCGATTGGGCGCACCCAGGGCGCGATTGGTCGGGGGCGGACCAATCCCCGCTATCGTTGCCCCTCACGAAATGAAGGAACCGCTGCGGGATTGAGAAGAGGTCATATTTCAGCCACGCGCAGAAGGGGGGGGGTACTCCAAATCCCTTATTGATCGACCCCCCCGTAAAAAACCAGACCCCCCTCCACATGCGACCTAATATTCCAGACCCCCCTCTTCGACGGGGCGCCTTGATACACCAGACCCCATAAGCTCCAATCCTAAGAATGCGCCCTAATAAACTAGACCCCCTGGGTTGCAAAGGCGCTTGAAAAACCCGGACCTGGGGACGATTAATAAGAGATTTGGAGTCGGGGGAGAGGGGGGGAGCCTTCATAGAAGCACCCTGCTTCCAAGAAGGGCGCGGGTCTTGCCTGTGGGTGTAAGTCCCGCGCCTTTAAGCAGCAGCATCTTTCTAGTGATCGTTTTCTCATTAATTGTTTTGCCGATCGGCGCGGGCCCTGGCACCCCCCGCCCTCCCTGGAGCAGATCGTGGCTGCTTTTGGCGCATGTTTCGAGCAGGTGGAGTCTCCCCCACAGGACGCACTGCTGCGAACGGTCGCAGTGAGCCGAGGTCCAGAGCCAGAACCCCCCCCCCCCGAGCATTTTCTTTGGGTGGAGGGCAAAGGGTGAAATCTGAAATGCCGTTTCCATGGATGTTCCAGGCTTGAATTCGCAATAGGTGAATCACAAGATACATGGTTTTTGAGGTGCAAATGCCCATGTGGATTTCACCCTGAGCCCTCCACCTTAGGAAAATGGTCAGCCCCCCCTTCCGCCCAATGCCTCGGAGGTGGATAGACCTCCTACCCTGACACGTCGATTAGCGAATTGTCCGTTTTCGGTTCGCGGGAGGGCGTCGCGGCCGTCGGTTTTCCGGGTCCAGGTCCGTCGGTGTCGGTCCCAGGCCGTGTTCACGCAGGGGAGGTTTACGAAAGGGAGGTTTGCCCACCGCCGAAATGTCGAAGCGCCGAGTAAGAAGATGCTCCCCGTGCCCCCCTCTGTGCGCGGCGCCAGCTGTCGTCGGAGGTCCCGGCGCTCGCCTCGCGCCCCCCGCCGGGCCGCTCCCGGGCCCCGCCGCCGAGGAGCGGCTGCAGCACCTCGAGGGCATCATCGCCCAGAGCGCCTCCACCCACGCGGAGGCCCCGAGCCCTTCGTCCTGGGGCTCCTGATCGCCGACCTCCTCTTCTACTCCTCCTCCTCCTCCTCCTCCTCCTCCTCCTCTTCCTCCTCCTCCTCCTGATCCGCCTCCGCCCACGCCGAGGTCCCGAGCCCTTCGTCCTGGAGCTCCTAGTCGTCGTCCTCTTTCTTGACCAAGAAGCCGGGGGAGCAAGCGCTCGAGGCGTCAGCGTCTTCGTCGTCCTCCGCCTCCTCCTGAGTGGGCGTAGAAGCCACGAGTGGGCGCGCAGAGAGCGCGCGTACGACAGCAGGCCCCGTTGCTGACTTGCTGCAGCAGTCCTGGAAGCTGCAGCTGCTGCAATCCGAAGCACAGAGCAGCGAGCGTCAAGTGAAGGGCGCTGGCGCCGACGCCCCGGGCAGAGGCAGGTGGGTCGCCTCCCCAAGCGGGGGCCCCAAGTCGGGCGTCCGGCAGCGGGCGCTTACCCTGGCGCGCGAGCCCTGTCTCGGGGGCCTTGCTGCCACTCGTCCGCCCTCCTTCCCCTTCTCGCCCTCCCCCCACTACTCTCCTATCCTCCCCTCCCCTCCCCTCCTCGTTCTCGTCCTCCTCCACCTACACCTCCTTCTCCTTCTTCTCCTTCTCCTCCTCCTCCTCCTCCTCCTCCTCCTCCTCCTCCTCCTCCTCTCCTTGAACCCGAGTCTCCGAAACTCCTCTCCTCTTCTCTCCTCCCCTCCCTGGTTGCTGCCGATGCTAAACGCCCATGGCCTGCCAGAAGCAGATGTTCGTTGCCCCACACGAGGCGGGCACCGACCAGGAGGAAGGATCGGAGAACGGGGACCTTCTCTCCCTCTACTTCCTCGCCTTCGCCTTCCTCGCCCTCACCCGCGCCCCTTCCTCCTCTCCCGCAAAGCTCATCGGTACGCAACTGCTGTGCCTGGCCAGCCCCGCCTTGGGCCTCACGATGCTGTACAGATTCTCCTGGCCTCGGCTGGCCGGATATATGCACCATGCCAGAGTGCTTGGGCCCAGGGCCCAGAACGGCCCTGGCCAGGCATGGAGGTGGTGTACGGGAGCATTCCGCATGTCCTTCCTGCGGGCGCCAGTGCCACGGGTGTCGCCCCGCGCGCACGCGGGTGAGCGCGAAGGTCGTCGATGCCACCCACGCGGAGTTGGAGGGCATCCACGCCCGCTTCGCTGCGTTAGAGGCGACCGCGTGCGCCAAGGCTGCGGGCCCGCGCTGTCTGGGCACGTCGTCGCGGCCGCCGCCGTCGTCGTCGACGCTGCCGTCGTGATCGTCGCCACCGTCGCCGCTGCCGTCGCCGCCGCAGCCACCGTCGCCATCGTCGTCGTCGACGTCGGCCCCGACGCGCGGGTGGCCTTATTAACGCGCACGCGCGCGGTGCGCGCCGCCCGTCGCGGGGCCTGGGCACGTCGTCGCCGTTGCCGTCGCTGCCGCCCGCACCGCCGCGTTCGGCGGGGCCGCGGGCGCTTCCGGCGCGCTGCGAGCGCGCGAGCGCTTGGCTCCAGCCTGGACGCGTCGTCGTCGCCGCCGTCTCCACCGGCGTCGTGGTCGCCGCCGTGGCGTTGCCGTCGCCGCCGCCGCTGCCGCCGCCGCGCCGCCGCCGCCGTCGTCGTCGCCGTCGTCGTCGAGGTCGTCGAGGCGAGATCATTATGGTCGTCGTCATCGTCGTCGTCGAGGGCGATGTGGTCGTCATGGTCGTCGTTGTCGGGGGCCGTTTCTTCGCGGTCATCATCGTCAGCACGAGAGAGACAGTGATGTGCGTACATATACCTAGCGTGACCAGTGGATTGTCTGGGTGCTGAGCTGGTTTGTTGCCGATAACTGTTATTGGATTACTTGTACCGTTTGGTTTTCCAAGTTGCCATGCTCATGCTTTTTCCTTAGAGCGTAGAATCGTTAGCACTTTCTTGAAGTTTGTTGGACCATCCAGTATTCGATCCTCTTGCAAACAGCCGCACTACCAGCACCTTCCTTTTGTGTCTTTCTCGCACAAGGCTGGTCACCAGAGCCTCAAGTTCCAACGATGGCCTTTTCAGCTACTGTCTGCCGTTACCATGCCCCGCGATGTTGACGATGCAACGGCTGAACACGAGGTCCTTCTGGAAACAGTGCTGCACATGTGTAGCACGTCTTACACAATTTCTTACAGATACATGTAGGGCAAATCTCCCACCGTTTGCCGAGAGACTGGTGCTTCTAAAAGCTGGAATATTGGGTGAGTAGCCCCACCGCTCAGGTGCCACTCAGAACACCCTGGCGTCAGCTTGAGTCCAGGGGTCCCGCAGAGTGCGATATCGCGCGGCAGAAGGACTTGAGTCAACGTGACTCATAATTACATGCTCGTTGTCATCAGTCCCCTTTTTCCTGATATTCAGGTTCTGTGGCGAATCACGGTCGGATGGTGTACTCCGTTTGGTGTCTTAGGAACTTTACATACGATCGAGTTGACCCGAGAATTGCCGCATACAGACGGCGTGGGAGTTTCCCGTCTAGAAGTTTCACGTCCTCGCCTTCTTCCTCCTGCTCTACCTGCTACCATCGCACTCCTCGTCGTCGTGGTCCTCCTCGGAATCGGTTCCATGATGAGGATACATCGCGTCAGAGCGTTCCAGAACGCTCTGGGAAGGCCGCGGTGCCCGATGCATCCCTCAGAACCGCCGTTTCTCAGAGACTCCCGATTTGTCCTGGTTCGACATTGTCCCGATGTTGTCTCCGTTTTATATTTCTCTCTTTTGTTCCTCCTCCTCCCTCCTCCTCCTCCTAATCCTCCCTCCTCCTCCTGCTACTCCTCCTCCCTTCCTAATCCTCTTCTTCCACCTCCTCTTCCTCCTCCTTATTGCGTGAAGTAGACCTCAGGAAGTACTTGTGGCGTTCTCTCTCTGCTCCTCCTTCTCCTCCTCCTCCTTCTCCTCCTCCTCTTCCTCCTCTTCCTCCTCCTCCTCCTCCGTCCTCCTTCTTCATTCTTCCCTTTCTCTTCCTCATGTATCATCCTCCTTCCTCCTTCATCCGTCTTCCCTCCTCCTTCGCCTCTTCACTCGATTTTGGTGCCTGTTTGCAGTCTGGCCCAGGCGCCGGCGAAATTGGTTCTTCGTTTTGAATGAGGAAAGAACCCGCCGCGGCCAGCTGTGCATCCCGAGTCGCGTTGTTTGACGGTGTGGGGGCCCAGCGATCGCCCCCCTTGACGCCGAAAGTGGCCCAAAGTTCCCTTCGTATTGTTTCTCGACGCGAGCTCGTTTGGGCCTCGTCTCTCCCCCGTTTCCGAGCGGCACAGGCGCCCGTGGAACACCTCCAGGCGCAGTTGCGGCAGCTCGAGTTCGCGCTGGCCGGCGTGCGCGACAAGCACACGCAGGACCGGCCCGAGCCGTGGTCTCACCGTTCGTATTGATTCGTGTTCTTGGCTCGTCGTCGTCGCGTCATCGTCGTGTTCTTTGTCCTCTTGCCCCTGTCCTTCTGCTCGTCGTCCACCCCGCCCCTCCTCCCCCGCCCCCCGCTCCGCTGCCCCCCGACATTTGATTACGTCGGCTTCTATAACAATTTATTCATTGGTTCGCTCAATCCGCCGGCCCATGGCGGGCGAAAAAGACGATAGGGGATTCGACATAAGAGTAGGCAGGGGAGGACGAGGAGAAGGAGGAGCAGGAGGAGGAGGTTGAGGACGAGGAGCAGGGGGACGAGAAGGAGGAGGAGGACGAGGACGAGGACGAGGAGCAGGAGGAGGAGGAGAAGGAAGAGGAGGAGGAGGGGGAGGAGGAGGAGGAGGAGGTGGAGGAGGAGGAGGATGAGGAGGAGGAGGAGAAGGTGGAGGAGGGGGAGAAGGACAAGCTATGCGCGGTCACGTCATAGCTGACGTTCGACCTCTCCCTTCCATCCCTTACCATGGCGTAGATCCTTCCTCTATTCGCGCAAGGGGATGTCGTAGCATGGCATAGCATTACATGGCATAGCATGGTGTTCAAGATCAACGCGTAGCATGACATAGCATGGCATGGCGACGCCCAAAAAAGGGGGGCGTCCGCGACCCCAAACATCAGTTCTTCGGCACCGAATGTGGAATCATTTCCGATAGTTCCTTGCTGGGGCCATTTTCTAGATGTTGGAGCTTATTTGTAAGGACCGAAAACCATGCAGTGGCATGGCGCTGGAAATAATGACACCAGCGCTGCAGCGGGAGCACGATTCGGAAGGAACGGTGGCCCGAAAATGAACCCAGCGCCTCAGCGAGAGCAGCATTGTGAAAAAACAACCCAGCGAAAATTCGTCTCCGGGAAATCCTGTGTGTAAGAAACCCGTACGCAGAGGGGGCCGGCCATTTCCACGATGTCACCAGGGGAGAGAGGAGAGTAGTATTCACATTGTGTAATTGTGGAGGAGGAGTTGGAGGGGGTCTCTCGAAGGTTTTTTAGGGGCACTGACTGTCGGGACTAAGCTGGGTCGCCGACAGGACGCCTCTTTGGAAGGCCCTTGGGGTCTCTTGGGAGGCCTCTCGGGGGCCTCTTGGCGGCATTTTTGGGGCCTCTTGGGGTCTCTTGGGAGCCCCGTGGGGCATCGTTTGGTCTTCCGAGGACTTCTTGGAGGGTTTCGTGGGAGCCTGCAGACGGTCTCGAGTCTCAGGGACCAACCTTCGGGGGAGCTCGATCTGCCCGTTCGAGTTTCCCCGCTCGGGGCCGTCGTGGGAGCCTCTGGAGCCCTCTGGGGATGCCTCTTGGGCCGTCTTGGGGCTGTCCTGGGAGCCTCTTGGCCTAATTTTGGACGATCTTGCAGGCCTCTGGGGCCGTCCTGGGCGGTCGGAAGCTTGACAAAGGCGGTAACGCCAAAATGTTTCAATAACCAAAGCATCATCAAATCGATTCGCCTCTTCGGGCCCTCGTGGGGTCCTTTCGGAGCCTTCGTGGGGCGTCTTGGGCGCCTCCTTGCGCCGTGTTGAGACCAACTTGGATGCCACCTATTCGGGGGCCCCCAGGGCCGCGCCCAAGACTGCCGGCAGCTCTGATCCGACCCTGGCGGGACCTGGCCGGGGTATTTTTCGTCCGGGGCCCCCGTGCGCCGCCACGCGCGCGCGAGTTGGAAGCATTCCGAAGCTCGCACCAGATGGTTTCAGCATGCCTCTGGCCCGTTGGGCCGGCAAATTCGTTCGGCATTGAATAGTCTGGGTCCTGATAAGCAATTCCAGGACCCTCCGCGTATGACATCCTCAAACGACGCTCCACGCTGTGGCTTGGCTGGCTAATTTGCTGTTCGGCTGGCTCTTTGTGGGTCAGGACATAAAGGTCTGGAGTGGTTGGTTAGTTGGTTGGTTGGTTGGTTGGGTGGTTGTCTGGCTGGCTGCTGGGTCACGAAATCTAATGCGGGCACCGCGGTATGGGACATCCTAAAAATGGTTGATTGGCTGGTTGGTTCACAGGTTGGCTGGTTGGTTGGTAGGTAGGCTGGTTTGTTGTTCGATCGGTTGGCTGGTTGGCCACTTTGGCGATCGTTGGTGGTCAACTCATATTCGGCTTCTCTGTAAACGAAATTTAGTGCAATTGCGAGCGCAATGCAACGCAATTACGCTGCGCTGCAATGCAATGCAATGCAATACAGACGCAACTCGATGTCAACGCAATCCAACGCAATGCAATGCAATGCAATGCAATCCAATGCAGCGCAATGCAATGTCAATGCAATGCAACGGAAACGGAAACTCGTAGACGTCGGCAACCCCTCGGGGCAGGCAGGAATCTATTCCACTCTATATGTTTCGTTTGACAATGCCAGGGGGCGCACGCGAGACGCCTATTCCACTCCACTCGCTGCGTGGCAACGCCTGTGGGGGGGTGGGGCGAGCCAAACGTATTCCCATTATACTCGTCACGTTGCAACGCATCGAGAAACATTCGATTCGACTCCACTCGCCACGTGGCAACGCCTGAGAGCCAAACAGCGCTATTCCTTACTCTTCACGTGTCAACGCCGCGAAGCGGAAACATACAGTTCTACTCGACTTGCCACGTGGGAGCGCCGGGGAGAACAAACACCTCTGCTTGCAAAGCGGCAGCGCTGCTGACGACAACGATGACGTCGACAACAACGACGACGGCGACGATCGACGACGACGACGGCGCCGACGACGACGCCGACGACGACGACGACGACGACGACAACGGAATGGAATTGGATAGGATAGGATGGGGTGTGATGGGATGCGATGCGATGCGATGCGCTACGATGGGATGGAATGGAACGTATTGGATTGAAATGGTGTGGACTGGACTGGACTGGAACGGAGAGCAGCCACCGCCGCCTGTCGGTGCTGCGGCGCGGTCGCTGCTCGCGCAGCGGCGCGGCGGCTGGGAGGGTCCCCCCCGCCCTCGTGGGGAGGGGCCTCGAGAGCACGCCGCGCCCAAGGAGCCGTCGGGAGGGGAAGCCACTGGCACCAGAGCACCTGTCTGGTGCTCCGGCAATCTGGAAGAAACGCCTCGGGCATTGGGGGGGGGATGGCAGAATCCACGAGGTATTGAACAGAAGCCCTGGAATCTCTGCCTAGAGTTGCTTGTGCCCCCTTCCCCCCGCTGGGCATGTTCAAATTCGTGGGGGGGATTGTATCAGCGGAGCCAATAGTACACACTCGAGATCGTCAAGTAATCATGCACTACGACATCTCATCACGAGGTCCTCTTTGGGCTTGCTGGAGCCCTCCTGGGTCATCCTGGGGCCATCCTGGAGCCCTCCTGGGCTCCTTCTCGGACTTCCCTATGCCTCGTCGTCGTCTTCGCCGCTGCTGTCGTCATCATCATCATCATCATCATCATCATCATCATCATCATCATCATCATCATCATCATCCTCATCCTCATCCTCATCATCATCATCATCATCATCATCATCATCATCATCATCATCATCATCATCATCATCATCATCGTCATCATCATCATCATCATCGTCGTCGTCGTCATGCCGTCGCCTTGGCCGTCGTCGCCCATCCTCTTCATAGTATTTCCATATGTTTCCCCATCTTCCCTTTGGTTGGGCTCTAGTTTTGAATTTTGCATAGAGCAGTGGGGTCTCCAATCCTCCGTTTTCCTCCTTCGCCCTCTGTCTCCCTCTTGCTTGCCTGCATCTGTCTGCTCACATGCCTCCTGCCTCGCTGTCCTGTCTGGCTGGTCTGTCGCATGCCTTTCACTTGGTTGGGTTCTCGTTTTTTCCAACCCTCCCTTGGTTGGGTTTTGTCTCGAATATAACAGTGGGATGCCGACTCCCCCCCCCCTCTCCCCCTCCCCCCGCCCCCCCCCCCCGCCCTCCTCTTGCGCCCCTCTTGGGGGCTGCGATGTGTGAAACTGTCGCCGCTTTCGAGGGCTGCTGGGGAGGGGGGGGCGCAGTGAGGCCCCACGCAGACCCAGACGGGACCTCGCCATCCTTGGGGGGGCTGCGACGTTGGAACTTGTCGCCACTTTCGAGGGCTGCTGGGGGGGGGGGCCAGCACACAGGGGCCCCGTCCAACCCAAGCGGCACCTCGCCATCCCTGGGTGGCTGCGGAGTGCGAGTCTGCCGCCGGTTTCGAGGGCTGAGATGCCAAATTTGTCGCCGGTTTCGAGGACTGCTCGCTGGCCAGCACTGCAGAGCCTCACGCAGACCCAAACTGTGCTTCGTCATCCCCGGGGGGTTGCGAAGTGTGACATTGACGCCACGTTCGAGGGCTGCTGGGGGGGCCAGCGCAGTGGGGCCCCACACAGGCCCAAACGGGACCTCGCCATCCCTGGGCGGGCTACGGAGTGTGAAACCGTCGCCACGTACGAGTGGTGCTGGAGGAGCGCGCACAGTGGGGTCCCGCGCAGATCCCGAAACGTCCTCGAGGGCCTCGCCATCCTTGGGGTGGCTGCGAAGTGTGAAACTGTCGCAACTGTCGAGGGCTGGCGGCGCGCCTGCGCGCGTCTGGTGCTCGCACTGAGATGTGCAGTGGGGCAGCGGAGAGGCTGGCTGGCGAGCTATGCCTTGACCATTTCTTACACAAGCAACGGGAGCTTTGAATTGTCAGAGGCGTTGCAGCAACGCGGAGCGCTGGCTGCGCATGTGGTGAGCATCCCGGCATGGAAAACGCGGCGCGTCATTATTTGGTTGCGTCTCCGCCCATCTAACCTTATCTTGCCTTTGCTCCATCATCTCGCTGATCCTGTCGAGGTGATTGTTGTTTCCACCCCGATGTATTCCGCCGTTCGCTTCTCCTTCTCAGCACAATACCGCCTGGTATGTTGTACCTATCCTCTGTGACCTGTCCATGTACACGTCGCACGATACTGATGTCCGCCGTGCACTTGTTCTTGCAATGCTGCTATCACCTTTTCGTTGGTTCACCTTACATCACCCTTTGTTGCCCATGGGTTGGGTACGTTTCAGGGCAGTGTGTAACGCAGCTCATTCCTTTTAGGGGCTGCGAAATTTGAAACTGCTGCCACGTTCGAGGGCAGCTGGGAGGAAGGGGGCCAGCGCAATGGGGCTCCACGAAAACCCAAACGGGACCTCGCCAACCCTGGGGGGATTCTGCGGAGTGCAGAACTGTCGCCATGTCCAGTGGCTGCCGGGTGGGGGGGTGGGGCAGCGCAGTGGAGTCCCACGCATGCCCCCACGGGACATGGCTGTCGTTTTCGAGGGTTGTTGCGGGGCGTGGGGGGGGGGGGGAGGGGGGCAGCACAGTGGGGCCCCACGCAGACCCAAACGGGACCTCGCCATCTTTGGGGGGGGGCTGCGAAGAGTTAAGCTGTAGCAACATTCGAAGACTGCTTGGGGGGGCGCAGCACAGTGGGGCCCCATGCAGACCCAAACGAGATCTCGCCATCCTTGGGGGACTTGCGAAGTGTGATATCGTCGCCAGTTTCGAGGGCTACTGGGAGAAGACAGCTCAATGGGGTCCCACGCAGATCCAACAGAACATCTCGCCATCCATGGAGGGGATGCGACGTGTGGGAAGGTATCCACTTTCGAGGGCTAGCGGCGCGCTTGCGCGCGTTTGGTGTGCGCACTACGCTGTGTAGTGGGGAAACGGAGAGACTGGCTGGCGAGGTGGGCCTTGCCCGTCTATTGCACAAGCAACGGGGATTTTAAATTGTCCGAAGCGATGCATAAACGCGGGACTCTGGCCGCGCAGTTGTTGAGCATTCTGGCCTGGAAGAACGAGGCATTCCATTGTCTGGTTGCGTTCCCGCCCACATAACTAGATCTTACCTGCGCTCCATCATCTCGCTGCTTCCGCCGAGGTGACTGTTAGTTCCCCCGATGTCTTTCGTTTTTCCCCTGCACACATGTTTCCTGGCCTATGGTACCTCTGTTCTGCGAGTCGTCCACGCAACTGTCGCACAACCTCCATATATAGATATGTGTATAATATACATATATACATACATATATATACACATGTATATACACATATATCAATATTGCACCGTGTTTTTGTGCCGATGGGCTGGGTCCGTCGCAGGGAAGCATCGTTTTTTACAGGCACACACACCTACGTACATATATACATAAATATGTACCAGCTTATCGTATTGCTTGCTGTAGTTATCTCTTTGTCTCTCGTCCCCCTGGTATGATTTTTCTCGCTCTCTCTCTTTTTCTCTCTCTCTCTCTCTCTTTCTCTCTCTCTCTCTCTCTTTCTCCCCCTGTTTTGGTTGATTGTCTTTCTTTCTCTGTCTTTCTATATCTCTGTCTCCCCCTTCCCTGCCTCTACCTCTCTCTCTCTCTTTTCCCCTTGTTTGGTTGTCTTCTTGGTGCATCCGGCCCCTCCCAGGACCTGGAGGCCCTGAGGGATGCGAGCCTGCAGATCCAGGACCCCTCGCGGAAGGAGGAGGAAACATGTAGGAGTTGAAGGATGAGGAGCACGTGTGTCCGCGTGTCGGTCGGTTCGGTTGCTTCGCCCTTGGTGGCATTTGGTCGGTCCGGGTCGGTCGGTTCGTGCGTCGCCGCGTCCCTCTAAGTTGCATTCGGCCTGTGAGTTTGGGTCGGTTTCGGTTTCGTTGTCGATCCAAGTGGTTTTCAGTGTTTCGTGTTGTCGCCGTGGGCGCCCATGAGAAGGGCTGAAGAGAAGGAATGAGGAGGAGCAGGGCCAGAGTAAACCAAGGATGCGCCAGCGATACTGCAATACACATTGGCTTCCCACGATGACCCCTGCTGACCTACAAGCATCAGTCTTAGCTTTTGGATGCGCCCTTTTGAACGACGAGCGCGCCATGGGACGGCCAGTCAGGCGAGAGCTCCATTTTGGACAGGGCTGGCCTCCATACTTTCAGCTTTACGTGGCAAGATGGTGGATCAGAGGTGGACAGACTTGTTTATTGATCGCCCCCTTGTGAATAGGAGTGGCCCTCCATCGGTGCCGCTGCTTGATGGTTCTGAGCATGGTTTGCAGAACGACCGCCTCCATTTGCGTAGCCGCTTTGGAATTTGGGGCCCCATTTAATAGAGTGTGTAGCGAGAGCCCCGCGCTAAGAAACGGAACCGCCCTCCACCCGTGTACCCGTGGGGTGCAACAAAAACACGGATTTGCGCGGTGCTCGGGCGAGAGTCGCATTTTGAAGACGGTTCGTTTCCCACCTTGCAATTGTTGGAACGTGTACGAGTGTGCGCGGCGTTGATACGAGAACCACATGCTGATGTAACGACCCGCCTTCCATCCGTGCGATTGTGTCGAAGTTCGCGCTTGAAGGCCATGCGCAGTGAGGAAAAAGTCTCGAGCGACTCCCCCAGCCCGCCTCAGGGACGCGCCTGATGGTGCGACGGTAGAGGGTTATCGAGGACGCCTGCGGCGAATCACCGCGGCCCTGTGCCTTTCTAGAAGTGCAGATGTGGCCAAGCATGGGTAAAGCGGGACGCCCACCCCGCCCTGCCGACGCGCTTGGTGGTGCGGCGAGGAGGGGTCATCAAGTGACACGACCCCCCACCTTGCTTGGGTCGCTGACCACGGGCCTCCTGTGGTCTCTTGGAAGGCCTGTTGGGGCCTCAGGTCCCTGTGTGGCCTCCTTGGGGGCCTCTCGGAGCCCTTTGTCGCGGCTTCTTGGGGGCGCGGGCGGCCCTCGTGTGGCTTCTTGGGGGGTTTGCTGGCCATGCCAGACGCCACGTTGGGTAGGAGGGCTCGAACTTGCAATTCGAGATCTTCCTCCTCGTTGGCCCCTCTTTTTTGGGGGGGACCCTCGGGAGTCTCTTGGGCCTCCCGTGTGGGGCCTCGGGGGCGTTCAGCTTGTGAGCGTCAAACCGACAGTAGCATGTATTGAGATGTGTATGTGCAATTATGTGTTCACGCACGTTGTGTATGTACATATATGCATATATCTATATATACATAAACATACATCGGGTCGTACATGCACATATATATAGATAGATATGCATAGCTGTTGTGTGTATGTGCATGTGATTGTGCATGCGCATGTGCATGTGCGCGTGCACATTCATACGTATGTCTACATCTACATGTGTGTGTATAAGTATCTATGTATAGTGTTAGGTACATGCATTGCTACATGTACTTGGACATGTATACATATTAGTATGTATGCCTGTGTAAGGGTACTCATGTGTACACGATTCTATATACTTCGGGAGGGGTTTCCAGGGGGCCCAGCGCTGCCGAGATGTTATATCGCAGTTGTTCGACCTTACCCTAGTCGACTTTTCCGTCTCGGGCGCGGGCGGCGGGCGTTCGCATTGCTCAAAGCTGGCCCAAGGTGGCTCAAGGAAAGCCCAAAAGGGTTTTGAAACGGGCCAAGAGGGCACTAACCAGGCAAGCGTAGCTTCACGATATTCTGGGAGGCCTCCCAGACCTGCCCAAGAGTCTTCAAGAGAGTTCCAAAGAGGGCTTCCACATGCAACAATTGTGTGTGTGTGTGTGTGTGTGCGTTTTTTTTATGCGTGTGTGTGTGCGTGCGTGCGTGCGTGTATGCCGTGTGTGCCGTGTATGCGTGCGTGCGTGCGTGCGTGCGTGTGCGTTTTTGCATTTTCACACACATACATTTATATATATATATATACACATATACACTGTATAGTCACACATACATTTATATATATATATATATATATATATATATATCGCTGTACTATTAAAACGGTGACCCATATACATAGAAAGCTGACCTGGTGCAACTCCCGGTCCGTCTGTGAAGCCTAATTCTGGAGATCCTCAGGAGGGCCTAAGACAGCCCCAGATGGCACCAAGACGGCCCTGGAGGGCCCCAGGAGGCCTCAGGAGGGCCCGACGAGCGTCCCCGAACGGCCACGATGGGCCCAAGATGGCCGAAGATGGGCCCAAGATGGCCACTCCACGGCGCAAAGGGCTCCCCAGATGGCCCAAGGGGGCCAGAAGACGACTCCCAGGAGGCAACAATTATTATTGGTTTTCTTTAGCCTCCGGTGCAATTTTCGCATACTCGGCTTCTCGGTCTCGAAAGTTGGCCGAAGATAGCCCTAGAGGGTGTAGTCGGCCGAAGATGGCCCAAGAGGGCTCCAAGACGAGCCCAGGACAGCCCAAGAGGAGCCCACGACGGCCCCAAGACGCTCCAAGAAGGCCCTTCGAGGGGCTCCTGACGGCCTACGAGGGCCCCGAGGCAGCGCAATGGGGCCCCCAGAATAGCCCCAAGAGGCCCCCAAGATTGCCCTGAGGGACCAAGACGGCCCTAGAGGGCCGTAAGCCAGGCCCCCAAGACGGCTTGAAAACGGCTTCAACGGACCCCGAAGAGGGCCCACTCGGGACCCTGCATTAGGACGGCGACGGTCAGAAAATCAATGTATACGTAGCCCCCCCCAGATGCGGATAAGAGTGATGGGGGCGGCGGGGACGTCGGCAGTCTGCGAGGCTCTGAAGAAGCCCGATGCAGGAGCCAAATTTTTACAACTCGTGCAATAAGCTCGCCGCAGGCGCCAGCTTTTTCGTTGAAGCAATGTAGGTGGGTCGCCGGGTGGGTCGCGGGTGGGTGGCGGGTGGATCGCGTGTAGGTCGCGTGTGGGTCGCGGGTGGGGTCGCGGGTGTGTTCGGGGTGGGTCGCGGGTGGGTCGCGGGTGGGTCGTGGGTGGGTCGCGGGGTGGGTCGCGGGGTGGGTCGCGGGTGGGTCGCGGGGTGGGTCGCGGGGTGGGTCGCGGGCATGTCGCGGGTGGGTCGCGGGAGGGTCGAAGTATCAGGCGGGAGCCGTTGTTGTTGTAATTCGGTGGCCAAGGGCCCAGCTTGTTGACCCCTCTCTCTCCCTGTTAAAAAATCAGGCTGCGAGCCCCGGGAGGAGCATAGCTTTGAAGAAACACTATGTGCCCCGGAGGGGGGGGATCAACACGTCTTATTCTTTGGAAATGGGAATTCAGCATTAACAAAAACAACAGCAGCAACAACAACAACAACCATTTTAAAACTGTTCGCTCCGATCTGCTCGCGTGCCATTTCCACTCAACACGTGTATCCCAAACCCTCGGTACCCGCGCTCTTCGTCTTCGATCGTGCTCCCTTGAGGGTATATCTCCCTTTTCTGCCACGTGCATTTAGCGCAGCCTCTAAAACAAGGGAAGAGAGGACGCGGAAGGGGGAGGGAAAAGGCTGGAACACGAGAGAACTTAGCAGGAGTGTGGCTAGGAATAGCAAGCGTGTGGCAGAGCCAGACTGGCAGATCGGGCGGGTAGACCCTAACGGGCGGGTCGGGATGGCGGGCCCAGGCGGCCAGGTCGAGCAGGCGGGTTGCTGAAGCCTGAGTCCTGCATGAAGCGCAAGGAAGTCTCGAGCGACAGCGCAATTCCCAAGTAAATCGCGAGAAAGGCCGAGGCGAGAGCGTGATTCTTGAGTGTCGAGGGCGCGGCGTTTCCTGCATACATTATGAGGGAGTCCCGCGCGAGAGCGCGATCTTTGAATACATTCGAGGAAATATCAGGTGCGAGCCGTTATTGTTGTAGTCCGGGGACCAGCGATGGAGTTTCAGCAGGAAGTTGTTTCCCGGATAATCTTGGATGCGAGCCCCGAGGGGTGCACTTCAATTTAAAAACAGAAAGTGCACTGGCGGGGGGGATCAGCAATCATTTTTTCTCCACGATTGAGAGTTCAACGGCCGTAACAAAAGCAGCAACAGCAACAATAGCACCAGCAGCCACAACAACGAATATTACCAGGGCGAACATGACTAGGGTGAACGACGACGATGGCGACGAACAAAAAGTAGCGTGATAAGCCCTGGGAGCGCCCGCTAGCGCCCAAGTGTGCTAGGAATCGAGGGTCCTTGGGCCCTGGGAGAGTATGCGCTGTCCCTTCTGCGGAGCACTCCCGGGGGCCTGGGGGCACTCCATTCAGTGCCCACAGCACTGTGTCGGGTCTTTCCGTCAATAGGATGCCGCTGAAAGTCTGTCGTCGCTTACCGTGGTCAGATTGAGCATATGAATTGTCATCGATCTTGGAATCTGTCCCTAGCCATCGGCATTCTGGCTCAGGCAGCTCGGTGCCGGGGAAGCCAGTAGGTACCCCGAGATTGGTGAGTTCGTTTCGTGCTTTCGATGAGCGGGAGATAGAAGGAGCACGTCCTCGCCTTGGATGGTGCTTTTATCGTTTCTCCTGCTTTGTTTGATTCGTGGTCTTCTGGGCTCCCTGTCTCCAGCCCGCGCACCTCCCATGGGATGGAACTCTTACAATGTATTTGGTTACGTTCCCCATCAAGAGGGAATTTCTCGGCAGATGCGCGCTCTAGTTCAACCGGTGGTCGAGCGCAAGACGGGGGGAAGCAGCGTCCACGAGAGCTTGCTTGAGCTTGGCTACAACAGTGTCGGGTTAGACGACGGCTGGCAGGAGTGCTCTCCGAGTGAGTACCCCCGTGTAGACGGGCGAGCAGTGATCAACAACTCGAGATTTCACAACATGCGCGGCATGGTCGAAGAAGGTCACGCGCTTGGTCTGAATATGTGGTTTTACCACAACGGCCAGGGCTGCCGTGGCGAGGATGTGTGGCAGCACGTCGGTGATAAGCAGCTCTCCTGCTGCATCCGTGAAGACCTGGCGCAGGCTATTGATCTGGGTTTCGACGGCATCAAAGTTGACGGGGGCGCAGACAACATCGATGACATGACGAAGTGGATGGATCTCATCGAGGGCGCGCAGCAGGAGTTGTTTTTTGCGAATGCTGCGACGCCCGGCGGCGAAATGTTTGCTGCTCGAAACCCAGATCCTGGCAGCATTGTCGAACTGTCCAGTCGTTTTAACACATATCGGGTGTGGCCTGACATATCACCGCAGTTTTACAGTGCGATGAAGTCTTTGCAGGCAATGGTCCCTTTCCTGGATCCGACGAATCCGTTGTCCTACCCAGGTATGTGGGCTGATCCAGATGCGCTCCAAGCCTTCAATGTAGTCGGTGTGCACGTGCCTGCGGCAAGCCCCGCCACCGTGCCACCGCAGCCTCGAGATGCATCCAGGAGAGTCTGCCGAGGTCGTGGGGTCCCTCCTTCTGCCTTCCCCCCTCTGTAATTAAAGCTGTGCGCGGCCCGCTTGGCTTCGACCGGAAGAGGTGCGTTCTCGATCCGCGGATCAAAAAAGTCTGCCGAGGTCATTTTAGGCCGAAACGCCGAGATCGCAAGAGCGTCGAAGCACGTGCACACGGCATGTCAGCTCGCTGTGGCATCCCCGTGGCCTGCCGAGTCCCTGCGCAGCGTGGCCCCCCACGGGTGGGCCTTGCGCTCCTCGCCGGGGCCGCCCGGGTTTAAGTCGGGCCTGTTCCATTGCAGGGGGGATTTTCCCTACCTAGGCTCTGCCTAGAAGGGTTCTTACTCGGTATGCTTAAAGGGCCGGGCAGTGGGGCCCGCCCCGGGCGGTTCCTCCAGGATGCGCACCGCGGTTCCCCCAGTTACGTCCCTTTAGCTTAGCGTTGCTTATCGCATCTCAGCTTAGCTTATTTCATCTTAGCTTAGCTTAGGCTCATCTTAGCTCAGGCTTATCTTAGCTAACTTACCTTCATCTTAGCTTCGCTGAGCTTCAGCATAGCAGAGCACAGCATAGCATAGCATAGCGTAGCATAGCATCGCGCGGCACAGCATAGCTCAGCTTAGCACAGGCTCTGCCTAGAGGGTTAGCTTAGCTTAATTTAGCTTAGCATAGCGTAGCGTCGCATTAGCATAGCATAGCATAGCATAGCATAGCATAGCATAGCATAGCATAGCCAAGCGTAGCATAGCATAGCATAGCATAGCGCAGCATATCATAGCATACTCTAGCATCGCATAGCATATCATAGCATAGCATAGCGCAGTTCATCATAGCTTAGCATAGCATATCATAGCATAGCGCAGCATAGCATAGCATAGCATATCATAGCATAGCGCAGCATAGCATGGCATAGCATGGCATAGCGTAGCAACTGATGCTGCTTTCCTAGGGGCTCCAACTTCTAGGTAGGGTCGCACTGGGGTAATTAAACATAGGAAACATAGTCTGGGGACTATTTTTTCACTGCTTCTTTACCATATTGGAGTATTTTTGAGTATTTTTGTTTTTTCGTCGACAATCCCTCTTGTAGGGGGACACGCCCGACTGAATCCTAGGTGTGAGCGCGGAGCGCGTGTGCTGTCCGGGGATCCGCTTTCGTTCGCCCGACTCAGCCGCGTGAGTGCGTGCGTGGCCGCCATGCAAACAGCTTGCGTGTGAACATGCCGTCCCTGTGTAAGTGTGGCCCCAGCGTTCTCAGAACTGGTTCGCCTATTGGGGCTGTCTTCTGGCCCTCCAGGGCCGTCTTGGGGCCCTCTCGGCCCGCCTTGGGGCTCTCTTGGGGGCCTCTGGGGCCGTCTTCGGCTGTTGGAAGCCCGAAACGGCGAGAACGCGAAGCTTGCTGGTGGTCTCGGGGGTCATCTTGGGGCGGTGGCCACGAACCATTATTTGAGTCTTGGGTCCGTCTTGAGGGCCTCTTGGGGCCTTCTTGGGTCCGTCTTGGGCCGTCTTGGGGGCCTCTTGGTCTGTCTCGGGGTCGTCTTAGGCCGTCTGGGGGCCCTCTGGGAACCTCTTGGATGTTTTGGGGCGATCTTTGGGGCCTCTTGGGCCGCCTTGACACGTCGGACACCCGAACTGCCGAGGTCGCTAACATCCTTCACTGCGACAAGACAATGATTTTGACGTCTCGGGGCCCACTCAGAGGCTGTGCGGAGACCAGCTTGGGCGTCTTTGAATGATCTTTGGGCGTTTCGATCCGCTTGGACCGTCTTAGGAGCCTCTTGGGGCCCCTGTGGTCTGCCTTGGGGCACTTTTGTAGGCCGCCGGTCCGAGAAGAGTCCTGTGGGTACATGGGGTGTTTGCGAGCTTATGTTGGACGTGCGTTTGAATATGTGATGCTTGGGCTCGATAGAGGAACAAACCTGCACTGCCGCGCGGTGACGGTAGCGCTTGCAATAGTGAGGGCCTGGGGCAGCGGCCCAGGGAGTACTTATAAGCCAGCGCCCCCCCGCCGCCAGAAGAGGGGGTGGGCATTGGAGTGTAACATTGCCCTCCCGCACTTTCGAGAAATGCGGCCACGAGTGCGACCTCTGCAAGAGCCTCTGCAAGTGCAGCGTCGTCAAGATAAGCCTCTCAATAATGCCTCGTCGCGCGTTCGAGCAAACCACCCCTCGCCGCCAGGGAGAGCAAGCCATCTTTAAATCGGGCCTGTCCCCTTACAGGAGGAATATTTAAAGATATTCAAAGAAACAATTTTTCTACTATGTTTAAGCATTTTTAAACATGTTTTAGTATATCTCGCCCAAAATCCGCCTGTAGGGAGACACGCCCGACCTAAAGCCATCCCCCGCTGCCACGGGGGGGCCTGGGCAGCAGTGAGGGGGTGAGGGGGCGGGCGGGGGGAGGGGGGCGCGCATTCGCGGCGTCTTCCGCGGCCTTCTCTCAGGCGATCGCAAACATAGATCAAGGGGGCGTGGATTAGCGACGGGTCCCGCTTCCACGGGCAATCGCGCATTCCCGCCGCCGCACGAGGCGGCACCGGCCGCACTTTGGGGTGGGCACCTCCCCCGATCTATGGATTTGGCGACCTCGCGCCAAGTCCGTGGATCGCTAGTCCATGTTCGCGCGCCCCCGCGTGAGGGGGCGGGGGGAGGGGAGCGCGCGCACTCGCGGCGGCTTCTGCGGCCCGCTCGCGGTGGCCCTGGGACGCTGGCGCTGCGAGGCCCCGCGAGAGGCCCATGCGCGCACGGGCTCCTCCTCGGCGTGCGGGGAGGTCGCGCGAGGAGCGCCCAGGAGCGCCCAGTGCTCAAAACAGGAGTTTCTTAGGGGGGTTGGGGCCTCCAGTTTCTAGGGGGGGTTGGGGACTCCACTTCGTGCCTCAAGGCACGGTGGCGAAATGTGTCGACAGTGCCGTCGGCTGTCTTCTGTCTTGGCTGCTCATCATGAACTCAGGAAGCCCTCATTCTTATCCGCGCGTGCAGGTGCAAGGGTATTCTTTTGCTCTTTCACTGCTTGGGGCCTCGTGCAGTCAACAAGCTGGAACAAGGACCGCCTTGGGCTCAGGAGGGGCCGGGAGGCATAAAGGTTGACGAGACGGCCGACGGGCCTTCGGACGTCTGAAGATAAATGAGCCCTGGGACACAGATATATACACACAAACTCCAGGATTCCTTTTCAATACTTTCTTTGTGTTCGTCTTCCCCCCCACTTCCGATATTTACCAATTTTTCTTGGGAATCGACAGTTAGTTTTGTCTGTGTGTTGTTTCCCCTCCTGAGAAAAAGGGGTCTTGGCGCCGCCTCCGTGGTGTCCCGAGGGCTTCTTGGCCAATCTTGAGGCCGAGCAGCGCGCCAGGAAAAAGAAGTCGGTAGACGCTTTTCTGGGAAATCATGGACGCCCTGGGGTCTCAGGGTTGGGTTTCTTGTGCAAGATGTCTCTTGATCGAGCTCCTTCTGTAGTGGTGTCCCGAGGGGTCCATGGCAATTGGGGCTGAGCTGCGCGCCGGGAAGGAGAGGTAGGTGGACGCTTTTCCTGGAAGTGCTGCCCCGAGGAAGAGCGAGACGGCCCATAGGTATTCCAACACGCCCGCACTTTGAGACGGCCGATGCGTCTTCGGACGTCTGCAAGGATCTTAGCGCCGCCTACGTGGTGCCCTGAGGGCTTCTTGGGCACTTCTGAGGCTGAGCAGCGCGCCGGCAAGAAATGGCACAGTGGATGCCCATGCCAAGAAAAACCCTGCTTGCCTCCAGGGTGCCCTGGATTTGTTTGGTTTCGATGCTTCTGCTATGGAATGCGTGACCTTCCCACACAAATCAGCAATGGACGTCCTGGGGTCTCAGGGTTGGGTTTCTTATGCCAGGTTTCTTGTGGTTGAGCTCCTACTGTAGTGGTGTCCCGAGGGTGTCTTGGCCAGTTTTGAGGCTGAGCAGCGCGCCGAGAAGAAGAAGAAGAATAAGAAGAAGTATGTGGACGCTTTTCTAAGAAGCGATGACCCGAGGAAGAGCGAGACAGCCCATAGGCATTCCAACACGCCCCAGCGTGCCAAACTGCAGTGGCGGATCGCGCAAATGTCAGACACGGAGTCGCGCACTCATTTTGCAGCATGGTGTGTGACAAGCGCACCATTGGTCCTTGGTTTTGATCTGGCAGATTCCGAGGTCTTCAGAAGAGCGTACCCAGTCATTGGCAACAAGCGCGCTATCGATGTCAATCAGCGCTGGGCAGGGCATCCTGGCCGGTTAGTCAAGAGCAGCCCCGAGGTATTTTTTGCTCCAACAGCGCATGGCCTTGTTGACTATTGTGACAACACCGCCGAGGTCGAGTCCTACATCGAGCCATGGCTGTCCAAGCGAGATGCGGACATCGATTCCGTATGCGGTCGCTTCAGTTCTTGGTCGTTGAGGGCGGTCTGCAGGAGTAGGCTAGCCAGGCCCAACTTCACACTGTGCAATAATTTTTCTTTTCCAGTGTGGCAGCTCTGGGCAAAAGTACGCCCCGACGGAGAGCAGGCAGTTCTCTTGATTAACCTCAGCCCCGAGCCCCGCGAGTTGTCATTCGCATTGTCTGACGTTGGGATTTTTTCATCTCGAGCCAGGGCGCTGGACGTTTGGAGTGGCAAGGAGTCGGTCATTGAGGGTCGGCTGACCAGCCAGCGCGTGCGGCCCCATGATAGCATCTTTCTTATCGTTACGCCTGCGTCGCAATTGCGAACGATCACCCAAAGATACGTTTGAGTCTGATCATTTTTGGTCCTGGCATCGGAGACGCAATGTATTCCGTGAGCGCGAACCGAGCGTGTAGCTTTTTGACTCCGTCAACGATAGAGGCGTCCTGGAGCTTCGCATGTTGCACTTTGGTCTGCGTCTCTGAATGGGATTATACCAGGCCTTGTGCTGCGAGGTTTGGCACATTTGAGCGGAGGGGGGAGGCAGATGAACACCCCTGCTTCGAAATGATCGACGCTTTGCGTATACCCAGTCGTTGGGCCGGCCGGTCTGTGCGCCTGTTGTAGCTAATTAGCCTCGTTCGCGCCCCGGACTTTGCTTTCGCCGCCTGACCCTTGTCTCGTGGCCGCGACCAAAAAAGTAGACCCAATCGTAAACCTTTCCCCGATGGGGAATCGAAGTGTTGGAAGAGACAGCGATGCGCCAGAACGGACTGGTAGGATTCCCAAATCAGTTCTTCTGAATGGCCCGCAAGAGTTTGAAAGGATTCGGCGAAAGGGTGCCGCAGATTTCAGTGGGCGGCCAGTTCTCTGGTTCCTGGATTATGCATAGAGGTGAAAGTTTCCCACTGGTTTCGGTGGGCGGCTGGATTTCTGATCCCCAGTGTTGGGTTCGTGCGTGCAGGGGTTCATCAGAGTGCAGAACATGTAGAGGATGCAGAGTTTGTGTGGAGTGTCTACAGGGCGTGGTGACGGTAGAGCATGCAGGTTGCGGGAAGTGCACATAATCAATAGAGAGAGAGAGAGAGAGGAAGAGAGAGAGAAAGAGAGCGGGAGAGAGATGGAGAATACATAAATTTAGAGGGGGTCATTTACACGTACACATATACATGTGCAAGTACTTGCAGAACCATATGTGTATAGTAATACATCGATAGGTTGTGGAATGGACAGGACTAGTGATCGTGACGCGAACACAGATCGTAACGGTCATTTCGAGTGCAGATCGTGCAGGGAGCAAACAGGGCAGAGGTCGTGGAGGGTACAGAAAGTAGAGAGAGAGAGATAGAGGTAACATGAGAGAGCTGAGAGAGTGTAGGGGAGCGTATAGAGTCTGAAGGTTGTGTTTGTTTGTTTGTTTGTTCGTGTATGTGTGTATGTGTTTGTGTTTGTGTGCGCCCGGTCGGTGACATGTTCCACCTCGATGCAACACACGATGCCGCGACCGCCATAAAGTATGTGCGCGTGTGTGTTTATACTTTTTGGGAGTGTTGACCTTGACTGCGTATAGAGTGCGTAGAGGGGATGAATTAGTCATATGTACATATATATATATATATACACGTAACACCCCGCATATGCGGATCAGAGTGAGGGGGCGGTGGGGACGTCGGCAGTTTGCGAGACTCTTGAGAAGTCCGCCGCAGGCGCCACCGTTGCACACATTATACGTAGCACCCCGCAGTTGCGGATATGAATGAGAGGGCGGCAGGGACGTCGGCAGTCTCCTCCGTGTCGTTCGTCCGAGTCGCACGGTGCTGTCTCCGCAGTGGCACGCTGATGTGGGCTCCCCACGACGCCGCCTCGAAGACACTGTCTGCGCTCCCCGGTAGATGACATTTCCTCGCCTCCTCCTTCCACCAGGTCGTCGTCGCCCTCCTATCCGCGTGTCCCTATACAGGAGGCACGTTGAGATATGCGTTAGAGAGTTAGGCCTGGAGCATTACAAAGGGAGATCGAGATACCAGGTGAAACAGCAGCACCACGAAGAAAAAGATGAGGGGCACCTACCAAGCCACGAAGTTAACAATACCAAGCTTTGGTGGCAAAAGTAAACCATCTAGCACGAGACCGCTCGGACAAACAATTTTCAGTCAAGGAGCTTGCGCGCTCGATGTCAGCCCCAACCCGTGGGGCACGGAAAAGCGTTACAACACCCGGTCGGAACTTCGAGGGACATCAAAGTGATGGAGGTCGACAGCCAGGAGCTTTCTGCATATGTTTTGACTAAATACGCGAACAGCGACAGCAGGTCCATGCATGTGCGAGGTACGAACCAACATATTGCGAAAGGCAGACATCAGCTGGCGCCCGCCACCGCGTGCCAGCTTAACCCATGTCTGGGTTACCATCGGGCGCTGGTCTGCTGGAGACTTGAGCCACAAGCCGGTTGATAGTCCGGATTGCTTTTGATTTTTGGTCTTGCTTCCAGTCTGTTCTCGATACAAACTTCGAATGTATATTTGACCTCTCCTTCGAACCAGTCACGATCAACACCAGTGCCCACTGGAACCCCCCAAAACTGGCATCACCCATGGCAGTTGCCAGGAGAATCGGACACAACCGAGGGGAGCGCGAGAAAGGACTCAAGCCACTAGGGAGGTATACTTCTACGCGAAGGCCTAAATGACCATTTTCAGCTTCCCTCCCCCTCCTGCCTCCACCCTCACTGTTTCTTTCTTTATTTCTCTCTCTCTCTCTCTCTCTTTCTCTCTCCCATCTCTGTCTCTCTTTCTCTACCTCTCTTATATGTCTTTCTCTCTGTCTCTCTTTCTCTCTCGCTCTCTCTCTCTCCCTCTCTCTCTCTCTCTCTCTCTCTCTCTCTCTCTTTCTCTGCCTCTAAACAACCGCCCCCTCTTTTCGTTCCTTCTCTCCTGGCGTTTTCCCACTTCCTTCGTCCCTCCCCCTCCCTTCCTCCCACTCTCCCTCATTCTCCCCCATCATCTTTTTGCAGGGCCCACACAAATTCCAATGGCGGGCGCATGTACGCCCACGAAGGATCGTCCGCCCGTTCAGGTTTAACCGCCTGTCTAAGCCCGCCGCCCCCCGCAAAGGGACAGAATTCCCCGCAAAGGGGGCGTGATCGAAGACAAAAGGGGTGGGTATTGAGGGTGTGGGGAACTCGTTGTTGATGTAAGTGTTGTTGTGGTTGTTGCTGCTGCTGTTGCTGGTGTTGTTTGTGTTGTTGTTGCTGCTGTTGTTATGGTTGCTGTTGTTGTTGTTCAACTCTCATTTCTGGAGAATAATTATGGTTGGTCCCCCCTCACCGGCGCAAGTTGTTTGTTCCCCATCAAAGTTTGCCCCTCGACGCTCGCACCCTGTTTTTTTGACAGGGAAAGTCTTGGTGCTCAAACTGTGCCCCTGTCCCCCCGGGTTACAACAACGGCTCCCGCCTGAGACTTCCTGCAAATTTACTCAGGACCCCCGCTCCCGCCTGAGACTTCCTCACAATTTACCCAGGACCCCCACTCCCGCCTGAGACTTCGCTATTGAGTCAAGACTACCTCGCAATTTAATCAAGACCCCTGCTCCCGCCAGAGAACCCTTCGACTTGTATTCAGGAGTTGCGTTCTCGCTTGTGACTTCCATGCAATGTATTCAGACATCGCGCTTTCGACGCTCAGGAAGCACGGTGCGCCAAGGACGCAGTTGCAATTTTAGTTCGTTTTCGCGTTCTGGCCATACTCAGGCATCCCGCTTGAATATCCCTCCCGCCCGACCCGCCCGTCAGGGGATCGCCCGCCCGTCGTGGGCTCCCGCCCGAGATTTCCTTCAGGAACGGCGTTTTCGCCCAGGACTTCCTCGAACATTCACGCTCTTACCTTCCTGCTCCTCCTCCCTCTCCCTCCTCCTCCCTCCCATCTCTCCTCCCTTTTGTCTCCGTTCTCTCTTCCCTCATCCTTATGCCTCTCTGCCCTATCCCCTCTCCCTCCTCTCCCTCCTCCCTTCTCCCTCCCCTCTCCTGCCTCCTCCTTCCCTCTTTATTTCTCTCTCTCTCTCTCTGTCCCTCTCTCTCTCTCTCTCCCCTCTCTCTTTCCCTACCTCTCGTATATGTTGTTTTTGTTCCTCTCTCTCTCTCTTTCACTCGCTCTCTCTCTCTCTCTCTCATTCTCTGTGCCTCTTAATCAACCGACCCCCTCTTCGCTCCTTCTCTCCTGGCGTTTTCCCTCCCCCTTCGTCTCTCCCCCTCTCTTCCTCCCCCTCTCACTCGTTCTCCCCCTTCTCTTTTTGCAGGGCCCACACGGATTCCAATGGCAGGCACATGTACGCCCACGAACGATCGTCCGCCCGTTCAGGTGTGCCCGCATGTCTAAGCCCGCCGCCCCCCCGCAAAGAAAGGAATCCCCCCCAAAGGGGGCGTGATCGAAGACAAGCAGGGCGGGTTTCGAGGGTGTGGGGAATTCGTTTTGAATGACACACGGGCAAATATGAGCGAACAGTCGTATAATAATTGTTGTTGTAGTTATTGTAGTTGCTATTGTTGTGGTTGTTGTTGTTGTTGGCGGTGTTGTTGTTGTTGTTGATGTTGATGTTGTTGTTGATGTTGTTATTGTTGGTGTTGTTTGTTGTGTGTTGTCTGTTGTTTGTTGGTTGTTGTTTGTTGTTGTTGTTGGTGTTGTGGTTGTTGTTGTTGTTGTTGTTGTTGTTGTTGTTGTTGTTGAATATTGTT